TTTGGATTGGGCACAAATATGGATGTCTTTCAGTCGGTTAGCCAGGTAGCTGTATTCCAAATTTCTTGGCATAGACAAGTGAGCACTTCCAGTGTTCATCTTTTTAGTGAAACATCTCAGTTGGTATTCTGTCAATTCCTGGAGCCTTGTTTTTCACCAATGCCTTCAGTGCAACTTGGACTTCTTTTTTTAATACCATCCGTTCTTGATCATATGCTACCGCCTGAAATGGTTAAACATCAACCAATTATTTTTGGCACATTGATTCTCTGTATTCTTTCCATCTTCTTTTTATTTATTTATTTTTTCCCATACAAAAATTTATACATACATTTTTATGTGACTCTAATTGCTCTCCCTGTATTGCACAGTCCTCCTTTCCACCCCTGATTCCCCATGTCCATTCAACCAGTTCCTAACCCTCTCTGGCTTACCATCTCACCTCCAGACAGAAAGCTGCCCGTTTAGTCTCTTGTATCTGCTTGAGCTAAGAGGCACACTCCTCACGAGTATCACTTTATGTCCCACAGTCCAATCCAGTCCCTGTCTGAAGAGTTGGCCTCAGAAATTATTTTAGTTCTGGGCTGATAGAGAGCGCAGGGACCATGCTTTCTGGGGTGCCTCCAGTCTCAGTCAGACCATTAAGTCTGGTCTTCTTACTAGAATTTGCGTTCTGCACCCCACCTTTCTCCCGCTCCATGTCGGACTCCTTCCATCTTCTTTTGACGCTTCCTGCATCGTTCAGTATCTTGTCCATAGACTCCTTCAGTACTGCAGCTCTGAATTTTTTCTTCAGTTCTTTCAGCTTAAGAAATGCTGAGGCTGTTCTTCCCTTTTGGTTTTCTAACTCTGGGTCTTTTGCACATTTCATTATAATACTTTACCTTCTCAATCTGCTCTTTGAAATCTGTTCAGCTCTTTTTCGTCATCATTTCTTAGATTTGCTTTATCTACTCTACATTCAAGAGCAAGTTTCCAAGTCTTTTCTGACATCCATTTTGGTCTTTTCTTTCTCTCCGGTTTTTTAAATGACCTTTTGCTTTCTTCATGTATGATGGCCTTGATGTCATTCCACAACTCTTCTGTTCTTCAGTCATTACTGTTCAGTGTGCCAGATCTATTCTTGAGATGGTCTCTAAGTATAACAGTGATTGTGAGGATGGTGCAGGACTGGGCAATATTTCATTTTGTTGTACATAGGGTCACTATGAGCCGGAAACTTTGTCTTCTCGAGCTGCCCTTTGAAATCTTCTGTTCAGCTCTTTTACTTCATCATTTTTTCCTTTTGCTGTCCTTGATGTCATTTTTTGATGTCCTTGATACCATTCCACAACTCATCTGGTCTTTGGTCATTAGTGTTCAATGAGTCAAGTCTATTCTCGAGATGGTCTCTAAATTCAGGTGGGATATACTCAAGGTTGTACTTCAGCTCTCGTGAACTTGTTCTAATTTTCTTCAGTTTCAACTTGAACTTGCATATGAGTAATTGATGGTCTGATCTGCAGTTGGCCCCTGGCCTTGTTCTGACTGATGATATTGAGCTTTTCCATCATCTCTGTCCACAGATGTAGTCGATTTGATTCCTGTATATTCCATCTGGCGAGGTCCATGTGTATAGTCGCCGTTTACACTGGTGAAAAAAGGTATTTGCAATGAGTCCTTCTTCTTAGTCTGTCTTAGACTGGAAGCTCAGATGAAACCTTTCCTCCATGGGTGACCCTGCTGGTATTTGAATACCGGTGGCATAGCTTCCAGCATCACAGCAACACACAAGCCCCCATAGTACAACAAACTGATAGATGCATGGGGGTTTCATTGCAAATACCACGTGTATGGTTACCATTTATGTTGTTGGAAAAAGGTATTTGCAACGAATAAGTTGTTGGTCTTCAAAATTCTACCGTGCGATCTCTGGCGCCATTTCTATCACCAAGGCCATGTTTTCCAACTACTGATCCTTCTTTGCTTCCAACCTTCACATTCCAATCCCCAGTAATTATCAATGCATCTTGATTGCATGTTTGATCAATTTCAGACTGCAGAAGTCGGTAAAAATCTTCAGTTTCTTCGTCTTTAGCATTAGTGGTTGGTGTGTAAATCTGAATAAGTCATATTAACTGGTCTTTCTTGTATGGATACTATCCTATCACTGACTGCACTGTACTTCAGGATAGATGTTGAAATTTTTTTTTGACGATGAATGTGACACCATTCTTCTTCAATTTGTCATTCTCAGCATAGTAGACCATATGATTTTCCAATTCAGAATGTCCAATACCTGTCCATTTCAGCTCACTAATGCCTAGGATATCGATCTTTATGCGTTCCATTTCATTTTTGATGACTTCCAATTTTCCTGGAGTCATACTTCGTACATATTAATGGGTGTTTGCCGCTGTTTGTTCTCATTTTGAGCATGCCACATCAGCAAATGAAGGTCTCGAGAGCTTTACTCTATCCACATCATTAAGCGACTTTATTTTGAAGAGGCAGCTCTTCCCCAGTCATATTTTGAGTGCCTTCCAACCTGAGGCTCCTCTTCCAGTACTGTATCAGACACTGTTCCGCTGCTATTCATAAAATTTTCTCTGGCCAGTTTTTTCAGCAGTAGACCGCCAAGTCCTTCTTCCTAGTCTGTCTTAGTCTGGAAGCTTCACTGAAACCTGTCCACCATAGGTGACCCTGCTAGTATTTGAAATACTGGTGGCATAGCTTCCAGCATCACAGCAATACACAAGCCACCACAGTATGACAAACTGACAGACGAGTGGTGGTGTAACTGTAATTAGTATTGCTTTAATATAGCAAAAATCAATGTTTAAGTTTCTCTCATCTCACTTTACTAGTTCTCCAGTATTTATGTAGTTGGAATCAATATCTAAATTTTTCCTTGATACCATTTACCATCTAGCCTCTGAGTTTCTTCAAGCACAGGAAGGTAATTCAAAGAGAAGTCCATTTTGCTTCTAAAAGTTCCTTCAAACTGTATCTATTTCTGTCCCTATGGGTTCCCTATTCAACAGCATGGACCTCTCCTATTACTTTCCTTCCAAGATCTTTTATTCATTATGGGTGAGCTGAGGACAAAAGTAGAAATCCCAAACATTTACCAATAAGAAATTTCTAACTCTTATCCAAAAGGCATTTGGTACACCAGGGATGTCAGACACATCAGTAAAGACATCCAGCTCATGGGCCCCAACTCATGGGGGTCTTAGTGTCACTGTCACTTTTGCTGAGTGATACCCCCAGCCACTGCTGCATAGTTGCTCAAGTCCACAGTTGCTCTACTCTTGAGAGTAGAGCCAAGAAAGAGACTCAGGGTGTGGTGCTCTGACATGAGTGCCCCTGACCATGGACACTCACACCCGTTCCTGTGTCTGGGTCAGTTTTATGCTTTCCATAGACCTGGAAGAACACCAGTCAAATTGAGTCCTAGTCCTGATTCATTCCTCAGTCTGTGTACATGGTACAGTTGTTCACCCAGCAGGTGAGAAAGGGGCAGTGAAGTCAGGTGTGATGAAGCCTCGGGCAGTAGGAAAGGTCTGGCACTGGATCAGACCCTCATATAGATATGGGAGGTAGGGGTTACAATGACAGAGGGCCCCCAAGAATAAGTACATTACCATTGTTTATGGGGTTTTTTTTTCCCCCCAAATCTCCCTCATACCTCTGTGAACTGAGAATCACTGCTGTTCCCTCAATTATTAAAGTCCCTTACTTGAATAAAGGGCTGTGTGGGCTTGCCATCCTTTGAGTTTAGAATGGCAAGTGCCAAACCTTTGGGTATATATGGGTGCTACGTGTTCAACATCAGCCTGTTCACTGGAGCCTGGAGTTCCCTTACCAGGAGATGGAGAGAGGGTTGGGAGGGCACCAGAGAGAGGGCTTTGCACTGCACAGTCAGAGAAAAGGTATAGAGATGCAGTTACCTAGGATGTTAATGCTTTGGTGTGATAACTTCCAGTCTCAGTTCAAATGCAAATACCTGATCCTTCCTGACTGAATTTTGAGGAGTATAAGAAGGAGGATCTATTACTGGGACAAAAGGGGGGAAAAGAAGAGAGAGGTAGGTGTCAGAAAAGGGAAGTTGGCCTCCTTGGGGATGACCTACAAACCTTGTCCCCATGGCCATTTGTGTCTGTATAGAAGCAGAGTACTCAGGCACTTACGTACTGTCCTGTGGGTCTTTTCAGAGTGGGGAGAGTGGGGAAGAGGACATGTCATTTTCATCACCAGCCTTTAAACCAGCCCTGCCATCTTGCAGTCCCTGCCTGTGGCCCTGTGCCTGAGATGGGATGAGCAGTTAGACAGGCCTGGCCCCCTTCCTTTGTGGTGGGTGGTGTGGTGCTGGTTGTTATCTTCGTCATGGAATATTTTGAGAATCTGCTGAGAAACACGAATCACACAAACGTCAGCACACAGTTTCAGGGAGAGTCCTCTGATAGTGCAGGGTCAGACGGTACTGATGTGGACAGACAGAAAGAATCCAAATAAGTACATGATAAACTAGGAAGCCAAACAGGAAGGAAACCCACACAATGCAACTTTGTACTGTCTACAAGCATAGGGATCACTGGGCAATAAGAATGGTGAGTCTAGCCAAGGCCTGGGAGCTTGATGTTAAAATAAAGCAGAGTAAAGGAAGATGGGTCCAGGGAAGCTTCACTGAGGAGCACATGGACCATCTGGGAATGATGGCCAGGAGACAAGTTTCTGGGGACAAGGAGGGGCTGCACCCAGGCTGCTGAGGAGAGACCACAGAGAACCTACCAGTAGCCAGAGTAAGCCCTACTGGGCCACTGTGGCCTGTGTCCCTGTAGGGTCAGCTAATCCTGAGGAATCGATTCCTGCAGCTTTGGCCAACCTGACCCCTGTGGTCACCCCATGCCCTACAGCTCCTGCTGGAACTTTGGTGTCTGAGCTGCAGGAGTTGCCACTGTGGGATAAAGGAATTTCCATGTGGCCCTCATCAGACTCTCCTTTCACCACCTCTGTAGGAAAATTGCTGGTTATGATGAAGAAATCCAGCATCTCTATGAGGAGATGGAACAACAGATCAAAAGTGAGAAGGAGCGGTTTCTCCTGAAAGTAAGTGTCCATTCCCCAGGCTTGGCTCTGAGGGCCACGTTAAAATATCAGCTATTCCATGAGATTCACTCTGACTACTCCCCATCCCCAATTTAAAATTGCAATGCCCCCACCCACAGCACTATTGATTCCCTCTTACTCTGCTTTATTTTTCAAAGACCTTGTCAACTTCGAACATGGTACATAATTTACTTACTTGTTTTTATTGATTATCTGTTTCCTTCTACTAACGTGAGCTCTACAAGAGCAAGGATCTTTATCTTTCACTTCCTAATGTACCCACAGCACCTAGAACATGTCTGGCATATAGTAAGTACTCAACAGATATTTGTTGACTGAATGGATGAGCAAATAAATGAATGAATGAAATAAAGCAGAATAAAGGAAGATGGGTCCAGAGAAGCTTTGTTGAGGAGCACATGGACCATTTGGGGGTGATGGCCAAGAGACAGAATGGAAGAATGAAGGTGTGTGCTTTACCAGGAAAGGCAGTCTTAAGATTGGGTTTGACATTGACTGGTCCTCAGACCTATCCTGCAGGCCCAACCAAATGCACCAGCCCATTATACTCCATGCTCAGGAGCTGCTCCAAGGGAACACATGCTATCCCTTCTATCCTCTTAGACACCTAGAAAATTTGATAGCAGAAGAAAAGAAAATCCCACTCTCCTCTATACCCTGGGGGAAAATTTAAGACTTACATCCCTTATTCCTAGTCATCTGGCATTTACTCAGCCACTTACCAGCGCTGCTATTTGTCTTGGGAGTCCAGGAGTGCTGAAATCCTCTCCTTTACCAAGCTAAGCAGGGTCCTTTCTGGAAAATATTCATAAAACAAAGCTATAGGAAACTCTCTATTATTCATTTTTGGATTATCCATTTGGTGGGTTAAGCAGCTAGTCTTTGATGTTGAATGTTGCCCCCCCACCCCGCCCCATCTGCCTCTCAGCAGTGACCATGGCTGTTGTCCCAACCCTTTTCCTCCTCCTTCATGCAGGATGATTTGAATCTATTTTTAATTTTATGCTCCCTTGGATTATCCACACCATGCTCCATTTAATTATCACAGATGTTTTCAAACTGAGAGGGAATTGAATGCTTTTCAGAAAAAGCCAGTCATATTCTCCAACTCCCAGAGCCCTCTGAAGTCTCATCAGTATTTCCAGACCTCCTCTGTCTAGTCCCTGACCTTCAGCACAGTTGAACGAATGTAAGGCAGACAGAACTCACACATTCCTCACCTGGAAACCTGACAGTTTTCTTGAAGGATGCATAGGGAGGTATTTTTGTTTCTATTCTGTGGACAAAGAAAAGGAAATCCAGAAGAATGAAGTGGCTTGTCCAGAGTCACCCAGTAAGTTAGTTGGGCAATGCTAGATTAGAACACAAGTCTCCTGGCACCCAGCTCAGGGCCCTTTAAACCAAACCTGGCTCTGTTGAGTCCATGCATCCTAGTCACCCAGGCACTTTCCTCTTTATCCCACAGCCAGGTCCCAGCACCCCTGCATCATCAGGGCCTCAGCAGCCCTGAGTGCGGAAACCCACTTCTAGGGTGTGGCATCCTCAGGGCAGGAGGTGCTGCTGGAGGGGAGAGGAGACTGAGTAGAGGAGCAGAGAAGTCAGGAGGAGCAGGGCCTGGGAAACCCCTCAAGCTCTGTGGGAAAATAGTGAGGACTTAGACCATCAAGAAGAAAATCTGTATTTCCAGATCGAGGGGCGTTTAAGGGGTCAAATGACAGTGCCCAATGTGGGACAGAATATTCTAGTTAGAAGGGATCTCAGAGGTCTTCTACCGCCCCCTCCCATCTTCCAGTTTACAGATGAGAAAACTGAGGCCTGAGATTAGACCTCGAACCCCTGTTTCCCTGTCTAGTACTCCCCCACTAAGTGACATTATCTCTTTGGGGATGGAGAGTGGGGCACGGGCATGGTCACACTTGGTGGGAGTCCATTTCACATCTTACTGAGTACTTGCAAAATTTCTGCCTCATCTCATCCTCACTAATAGGGCAGGCAGGGCATTGAAGCCCTGGGATGTTGTGGGAATGGCCCCGAAGTCCAAAAGGACAGGCCCTGCCCCTAGGGCTCGTGTTTGGTGAGAGATGAGCCTTTGGTCTTTGCCAAAAAGCTGTAGAGTAGGTTTAATATTAAAAAAAAAAAAAATCTCCAACCTAGGTACATTTGGGCTTCATGTGTCCCCTTTTTGGTTTGGCAGGACACAGAGAGGTTCCAGACCCTCAGTCAGGAGCTGGAACAGAAATTATTATCTAAGGAGCAGGAACTGGAACAGCTCATCCAGAAGCAGAAAAGGGTATGTTTCTGTCAGTGTCCTCAGAGTACCTAGCTCATCATTCCTTCTTTTTCTCTGGCTCCGGCCTATTTTCCCTGCTGTTCACTTATGGACTGTTTTTTTTTTTTTTTTTTAAATCCAAGAAGAACCATTTAGCTGTACAAAAGATAGCATTTGAAATCACACATGACCCCAAGATAAAAGCCTGTAATTCTCCAGTACCAAAGGTTTAACTTGGAAAAATTGCCAAAAACTCCCCATGAGATATCTGAGGACATTTTCATATAATTATACCCAGGAGCCACCAGAATGTTGAAATTTTAATTTGTGTCCTACATCTTGTAAAAGAAAGGAGAGAAATACTATGGTACAAGGGATGCTGTCTAGTCACTGATATTTTGGGGGAGGCTACAGACAAGTTTCTTCCCTCCAGGATGGCCACGGATAACTCCAGTTGGAAGAGGAGCTTAAAAAGTTGGATTTCTCCAACCTCTGTCTTCCCACACACCTGGATGAGGTTCCTTGGTCTCCTTTGTGACTGCTTCCAAATGCTGCAGGTGGATGCAGATAGCAGTGCTCACCTTTGATGTACCTGACCTCCAAGAGGCAGGTTGGCTGGTACATGGTGCAGGGCAGTGCTCACTATGGCTGGGAAGCCTGACTCATGCCCCCAGGAAGATGGGTTACCTGGGCAAGCTTCATGCTCAGGGGCCTCCTCTCCAAAGCAAGGGCTCATGGAGGCGAGGGGCCAGGACACCACTGGCCCCTGTCTTGTTTTGTCTGGTGCTGGAAGGAATCCAGCCCTGCACAGACCCAGACACATTTCTTCCCTTTGAATAGAGAGGACTGTTTTTAGCAACACGTTAAAATATACCTGAGGACACCCCATGCTAAGACTAGAGACTGTTCTGTGGCTACTCAAACTATGGATTTTGGTTTTTTTCTTTCTGCAGCGAGATCATATGAACTCCAGGAACTGCCAGCTGCCTTCTCATTCCCCCTTCCACAGTCATACCTTGCTTCTTCTATTCCTTTTTCTCCTCCTCACTATCATGCATTAAATTCTTACCAATTGGATTTATCCCTCAAAAGAATGATTGCCACTCGATTTAATTACTGCATGCTTGCCTGATTACACAGGAGCCTCTTGAGAATCACACACAATTCCTTGTTGCTTCCTCCTCCCCTTACTGGCCGCATTCATTAGACTAAATTTATTATGATATATTTGCCTTGGTTTGATTCTTCCTCTGGTGAGAGGATTGGAAGCTCTGCAAAGCATAATCGCCAGCCAAGAAAAACTGAAGTTATCAAAATGCAGGATTTTTTTTTAAGTTGCTTTAGGGACATGAGAAAGAGTATGTTTTGTTTGACCTGTTTTAGCTATTTCCTAAGAATTTCCAGGGTTTCTGTGGGCTAAAGGAATTAGACTTATTTAGCTGAGAGAAGAAAATGGGATAAATAAATTTACTATCAGTATTCAAAATTGAGAAGGATGATTTTATGAAGAATGCCACTCAGCTGTTCTCCATCTCCTCACAGGGCCAAAGAAAAGAAATTGACTTAAAGGACAGCAAGAGGGATTTAGGTTAGATCTCAAAACCATTATGACTTTGGGATGAGAGACACAGATGGACTGTGGAATTTCCTCTCCTGGTGGTCTTTATGAATGGCGCAGCTCACCCTGGACTCTTTAGTGGCCCTATGTGGAGACACTGGAGAGACAAGATGTGCTCCAAAAGCTCCTTCCTGCTACAGAAGTTTGTATGTGAGAATTAAGGATCAGGACAACGCTTGAGGGCAGTGAGGGTAGCGGTGAGGGCTCCTGCCCACCCAGGGGGAAAAGCAAGGTGAGGCTGGGCAGGCCAGCCTGGTGATGGAGGTTGCTCATCTTTCCCCTCTTCTCCCCTGTTCCCCTAGCTGGAAGGCCAGTGTATAGTCCTGCACAATGACAAGCACGAAACCAAAGCTGAGAATACCAAGCTGAAACTCACCAACCAGGAGCTGGCCCAGGAGCTGGAGCGGACCTCCCGTGAGCTACAGGATGCTCAACAGCAGCTGGAAAGTCTCCACCAGGAGGCCTGCAAACTGCACCAGGAGAAGGAGATGTGAGTCTAGCCTTGGTACAACCTCACTGCTGTCCTCCCACTCTATTCTCTGCTGTGGGCTGGTATCTCCCCTCACAGAGACCCTGTCTCCTGCCTGTGAAACGGGGATTTGGGCTTGTGCTCTCTGAGATGTCTCGCAACCCTCTTCTAGGATTCTATCCTTCTGTTTTTCTTAGAAGACTACTAAGCAGGCCAGTATCATGTGAACCATTGCATAGGATTGGCATGAAAGATATAGTCTCTGTCCTCTGAAAATTTATTATGTGATTAGGAAGACATTATTTAGCCAACAAACATAAAGTGGTCTGTAAGCAAATGCTGAGTTGAGCAGACAGACCGTACATGACTATCGTGGACTAGTAACATAGGCTAGAAAGAAGTAGGGAGGGCTTCTGAGATCTGCATATGATTTAATGGGGCCTGTTACAGTGAACAGGAATCTTTGTTCTGGCTCTGCCCCCATCACCCCACCCACCTTTTCTTTTTTTTTTTTTGACAAATGTTCCTCTGATTAGACTGTGTGGGCCAAGCTGGGAATAGCCACATCTGTTAGGGCCTGGTTTGCCAATTAACTGCTTCTGGTGTCCAGCAATGAGGTTCAGCTTGCTAGGCAGAGTAAACCTGAGGAAGGATCAAGAGGTAGCTCTGTACCTTAAGCTAGAGGAGTCACTGAGATCAGTCATTTCTCTTGTCTTGGGAGTGTCAGGTTTTGAGAACAAACACACTCAAAGAGGAATCTCACTTGTTTATTTCTTGTTTATTTGCCCGTTCATTTATCCAATTGCTTTTTATCATTTGACAAACATTTATTTCAGTCTACTCTGTGCCAAATACTGTGTTGGGTATTCAACATACGTTACTTCATTTGACCTTCATAACATCCCAAAGTGGCAGGTGCTATTATTATCAACTCCTATAAAAAATGGTGGCGTGATGGGGGGATCTGACCTTCTCTAACTTCAGGAGGTGGATAAGGGAGAATCAAGATTAACAGCCCAAGGCTGGTTCCTATGAAACAGAGGTCATATATACCTTCTCTCTCCAACCTTTTTACCAATTTTCACACCAGCCATCCCTCCCTGGCACTCTCTACTTCTTTGCTGAATTCAATAATTCATTGCAATGGACACACAGAACTCACAGACAATACTCACGATTATGACGTTTATTAGGGAAGTAACAGGTTACAATTCAGGATCAGGAACAGCTCAGGATACTGTTCTTCAGTCAGGACAGCTTCTCAGCTGTGCTCACAAGCAGGCCTTTCCCTGGCCCTTGGCCTCTTCGCCCTCAGCCCCTCTTGAGCTGGCCCAAATTCTGCCCTACTCAGGCAAGTGTTACAAAACTCTTTAGCTCTGCCAGTAAGTGCCTGGAGGCACTCTGCCATCAAGCCTCTTGCCTGAAGGCGCTCATCTCTCTCTCACTCTGTGAGTTTGCGAGCCTAGCCTGGAAGCACCCTACTCCACCAGCAAGCCTCCTGTCTGAAGGCGCTCAGCTCTCTTGCCGGGAAGCCCACCACACCATCTCCTGTGGAGACCTCTTGAACCATCCTCCGGTCCTCTGCCCCACTTGCCGCCACTTCTTGCCATCTTATGCCATCTCCAGTGTTACAGCTTTCTGTCTCCTGGGTCTAGGAGGTTAGCAGCACAAGTATCCCATGTCCAAAGGACACTTTCCACCCTTAGTCTTCTTTCTTGATGGTGGTGAGGTTCCCCATTTCCGCCTCTGGGGTGGCTCATTTTAAGCCTAACAGGATGGCAAAACTGACTAATCCCCTCATTAGGGTTCCATACACCTTACTTGCATGGTTTCACTCTCACAAGTGTGTCATGCACCTTATTTGCATGGCAAATAAGGCCATATAAAAGTGATCCATCACACTGCACTCCATTTTATGAGTGAGAAAACTGAGGTTCAGAGGTTTTAAGTAACTGTCCCGAGGCACTAAGGGTTAGACATATCTGACTGACTTCCCTCAGAAAATGTTTTTTCTAATTTTTCATTCAGTCTGCAATGCATCCCTGTTTCTCTTTCTTTCTTCATTCCATTCTGTACTATACATTCCTACCTTCTTTTCCTCATCAAAACAAAGGTTTTTCTTGATACAGTATAATTTTTTTAAGCAATAACTTCCCATTCTCTCCTCTCCCCAGCCCCCGTCTCTGTGCAGTTTTTTGCCTAGTTTATATATATATATGTGTGTATGTATGTATACAAATGATGTATTTGCCTAGTTTATATATATATATATATATATGTATGTATGTATATAAATGATATTTTATTGTGTTTTCGATGAAGGTTTACACAGCAGTTTAGTTTTCCATTCAACAGTTTCTACATAAATTGTTCAGTGACATTGGTTACATTTTTCACTATGTGTGAGCATTCTCTTTATTTCCTCTCTCGTGGTTCCGTTTCCATTATCTAGCTTCCCTATCTCCTTACATTCTCACCTTTATTTTAAAGAAATTGTTGACCATTTGGTCTCATATAGATGATTTTTTAAAGGAGCACAGTACTCAGGGTGATATTCTTTATTTTATGAGCCAATCTGTTATTTAGCTAAAAGGTGACCTCAGTGGTTTGTTTCAGTTCAAGGTTTAAAGCGCATCTCAGGGCAATAGTCTTGGGAAATCCTCCAGTCTTAACCAATCCAGTAAGTCTGGACTTTTTAAGAATTTGAAGTTCTATTCCATGTTTTTCTCCCATTCTATTAGGATCCTTCTTCTGTGGCCCTGATCAGAACGGTTGGTAGTGGTAATAGACGAGTACCGTCTAGTTCTTCTGGTCTCAGGGTAGATGAGGCCTTGGTTGGTGTAGACCATTAGTCCTGTAGAATAGTTTTTTCTTTGAGTCTTTGGTTTCCTTCTTTCTCTTTTGTTCCAGACGAGTAGAGACCAATAGTTGTATCTTAGATGGCCACTCACAATCTCTTTTGTTTATTTTTTTAATTTTATTTTGTTGTTGTTGAGAATATATACAGCAAAACATACATCAACTCAACATACACCAACATACACCAACTCAGTTTCTACATATACAATTCAGTGACACTAGTTACATTCTTTGAGTTGTACAACCATTCTCACTCTTCTTTTCTGAGTGTTCCTCCCCCATTAACATAAACTCTCTGCCCTGTTAAGTTTCCTATCTAATCTTTCAAGTTGCTGTTGTCAGTTTGATCCCATACAGATTGATCTTAAAAGAGCACAGTGCTCAAGGCAGACATTCTTTACTAGTTAGCTAAACTGTTGTTTGGTTTGAAGAAGCCTTCTTTGAAAGTTTGCTTTGAAAAACACTTCAAGGGATGTTTTTGGTTTAAGGTTTAAAGATTATCCCAGGGCAATAGTTTCAGGAGTTCATTCAGCCTCCATGGCTCCAGAATGTCTGTGATCATATAATGTCTGTCCTTTGTGTCTGGCTTATTTTAGTCAGCAAAATGTTTTCATGTTGTAACATGTATGACTTCATTTCTCTTTATGATTGAGTAGTATTCCATTGTATGGATATATTTTGTTTATCCACTCATACATTGATGGACTCTTGGGTTATTTCTGCCTTTTGGCTATTGTGGTTAATGCTGCAGTGAACACTGGTGTGTAAGTATCTGTCTGAGTCTCTGCTTTCAAGTCTCTTGGGTATATACCTAGGAGTGGAATTGCTGTATCATAAGGTAATTATATGCTTAACTTTTTGAGGAACTGCCAAACTTTTCCACAGTGGCTGTACAATTTTATGTTCCTACTAGCAATGCATGAGGATTCTAATTTCTCCACCTTCTCACCAACTCTTGTAATTTTCCTTTTTTTTTTTTTAAAATAATAGCCATTCTAGTGAGTGTGAAGTGGTATCTCATTGTGGTTTTGATTTGTATTTCTCTAATGACTAATAATGTTGAGTACCTTTTCATGTGCTTATTGGCCATTTATATATCCCATTTAGATATATAAAAGTTCTTTGCCCACTATTTTTTAATCGAGTTGTTTGTCTTTTTGGTGTTGAGTTGCAGGAGTTCTTTATATATTCTGGATATTAAACCCTTATCCCATATATGGTTTCCAAATATTTTCTCCCATCTCCCAAACAATATTTACACAAGAGTAGGACTGGCCATCATTCACTTATTCATCCATTCACTCATGCATGCTGTATTCATTCATCCTTCAAAAGGTAGTTGGGTGCCCCACTCTGCTAGATTTCAAGGAAAGTCTGCTTTCAGGGGAAAGGCAGTATTGCTTACCAGTGCTCAATGCTTTATGTATGTTAAGTCCCCTTGTTCAAGAGTGAAAGCCCTTACTCTGTTTAACTTCTGGCAGATTCTTGGTCCATAGGCCTAAGTCAAACTGTTCTGCCAGTCTGGCTCATGTGTGGTGCCCTGTACTGTTTGGGATTGATTGTCTAGGGTGGAGGGAGGAAATGAGTTTGGATTTGGAATTTTACCCTATTAGGTATCTCCAGTTAAAAATAAATTTAAAAAAGACTTTCAAGTAACTGACTTAAAATAAAACCAAACCAAGCCCTTCCATTCTAATTCTTGGATGACCAGAGTGGAAGGACAGTGTATTTCATTGTAAACAAGCAAAATCAGTTCCTCCTCATTGAGAGCAGGTGAAGTCACAGGCATTTAACTTTACCAACAGAATTAAAGATTCAGGCTCTTAAAATTCAATCAACTTCTAAAAACAACGAACATCTGAAGGCACAAGCATTAGAACAGGAAATAAACACCCAGTGCTGGAGTATCACATTACAGCATGAGGATTAAAATTTTTCTGAAGTCTTATCTTAATTAACCAAGTCAGAGGCAAAATCTCTAGAGGCTGGGAATAGAGAAGAGGGAAGAGGGCTAGGAGGAGGGGAGAAATATGATTCTAGAACCTTCACAACTTGTTTACAAGAAGCTTGCAGTGTCTTGGGCAGCCAGAAAACATGGAACCCAGGAGAGTGTATCCTGTCCCAGGAGCCAGGAGAGAAGTGCTGAGTATGTACTCTGTAGAATACAATTGCAGACAAGCAGTACTGAGAGGACCTCAATGCGCTAATCCAACTTCTTCATTTTATAAATGAAGAAACTGAGGCTCAGAGAGGTGTAGTGACTGACCCAAAGCCACACAGCTAGTTAGTGCCTGAACACGGGGACAGAACCTCTTCCCTGACATTTCTATGCTTCCTCCCACAATATCTTTCTGCTGATGCTACAGTGGAGCAGTGGGAAGGGAGAGGGTGGGGTTTAGAGGTGAACAAACTTAGTCACTTACCAGCTAGAAGTATAAATGGGCAAAACAATGTTCCTGTTCTCCAAAGATGTTCAGGGAAGGAGAAATAGATTTTAAAATGAGGTCAAGAAAGAACTATCAACCAGGGGGAGAAAACATAAAGATGAAGATCAGTCGAAAAGCAGCACCTCTCTGTTATTTTTGTTTTCATTACCTTTATTTTGAATAGGTAGTTTACGATACAGTACAATATCCTAAAATTACAAAGATTATATGCTAAAAAAGAGGTCTTCCTTCCCCCATGACCCCTGGCCCCCACCAACCTAGGGGCCACCAATCACAGTTTCTTGTGGATCCTTCCAGAGATATTCTATGTATACAGACACATGCACACATTATTTTATTTTATTTTGTTTACGAAGCTGTAGCACACTAGGCACACCGTTCTGCATTTGTCTTGAGTCTTTTACCTAACAATATATGTCGATGGTGTTCCCTATCTCATCTCTCTCCTAAAAACAAAAGCAGTTCCCTAAAAGCAACTATGTACTGCTCATCAGTTGCTACTCCCAAGATTGGCAGATTCTTTCCCTCTTGGTTCACAGATTACCCAGTTATAGACATTTAAATTCTCTAGGTTAGAAGGACTTTAAAGGTCATCTAGTCAAATATCCAAGTGCCATTATTTAAAATTGACTATTTTTTAGAGCGGTTTTAGGTTTACAGAAAAATTGTGCAGAAAGTGCAAAGAGTTCCCATTACCTTCCTCCCTCCTGCTGCGACACAGTTTCCCCCTATTATTAACATCTTGCATTAGTGTGGTATGTTTGTTACAACTGAAGAACCAATACTGATATATTATTATTAACTGAAGTCCGTGGTTTATATTCGGGTTTGCTCTTTGTATTGTACAGTTCCATGGGTTTTGACAAATACGTAATGTCATGTGTCTCCCATTACAGTATTATACAGAATAATTTCATTGCCCTAAAAATGCCCTGCATTTCACCTACTCATCCCTCCTGCATTCCTAAACCCTTGACAACTATTGATCTTTTCACTGTCTCTATAGTTTTGCCTTTTCCAGAATGTTATATAGTTGGAATCATACAATATTCGACTGGCTTCTTTCACTTAGCAGTATTCGTTTAAGGGTCCTCCGTGTCTTTTCGTGGCTTGATAGCTTATTTCTTTTTATCACTGAATAATACTCCATTGTACGGATGTGAACACCTTGGAATACCCTGGAACACCTGGAACGCCTTGTTATTTAGGAATTGGCTACTGAGTCAAACACTCTGTGAGAACCCAGATGTTTGGTCTCCAGTGGGTGGTTTTCTATAGCTGACTGTTCCCAGCAGCCCCTGGAAGCAGGTGCAGGGCTGGGTCAGGGGAACCATAAAGCTGGGCATAGGCAATCTTCAGCTTCCGGAGCACAGAGTCAGGAGACAGGCAGCTCCACTCAAGTAGTGGGCTAATCAGAGTCGAGTCCCAGACAGGGATTTGGGGACCCAGTTTGGATAATGGGAAATACATTGTTTTCCCTCAACTTGAAATTAAATATAATTGGTAATAAAATGCTAGGAATTTGCAGCTCTGCAGGAGCCAGAGAAGTTTTGTTGCTTAATTAGGATTGTCTGAGGTGAACTTAGAATTTGATTTAGTCTGTTATTGTCGTAAATTGACTTTATAATTATTCTGTAAAGGGAAGGAAACAAAACACATACACAAAGATACCTCTTGAGGAAGCAGGTTATTACAAACTTGGCAGGAGAGTCCTGCAGACCCAGCATGCTGGTGCTGTTTTTACCAGCTCTGTAATGACACTGATGGGGTGGCAGTGGGGTGAGTGTCCTTGCCAAGCCCAGTAGGTGTACAGTCCAAACAGCCCCAATAGCCCATGGTATGTGGTATATTTATCAGACTGTGTGATGCTCCCTACACTAAAAGCCATGCTGTGGTTTGCAAATGTGAAACTCTGGACCTTTTACAGGAAGCATAGGGAGTGATTTAAACATTTCTAAACCATGGTGCAGAACACAGAGGGAAAGATCGAGGCAGAATTGTGAAATTAAGTAAAGTTTGTTTTCCAGTGTTACCCAATTCCTGCTTCATCTTTTTCCTTTCTTCCCTACATGATGCTGAATACCTCCCCATCTGTTATGGATTCAATTGTGTCCCCCAAAAATGCATGTCAACTTGGCTAGGCCATGTTTCTCAGTATTGTGTGATTGTCCACCATTTTGTCATCTGATGTGATTTTCTTATGTGTTGTAAATCCTACTTCTGTGATGTTAATGAGGCAGGATTACAGGCAGTTATGTTAATGAGGCAGGACTCAATCTACAAGATTAGGCTGTGTTTTAAATCAATCTCTTTTGAGATATGTAAGAGAGAAGTGAACAGAGAGACAGGGGGACCTCATGCCACCAAGAGTGAAGAACCAAGATGGGAGTGTGTCCTTTAGACCTGGGGTCCCTGCACTAAGAACCTCCTAGACCAGAGGAAGATTGATGACAAGGACCTTCCCCCAGAGCCAACAGAGAGAGAAAGCCTTCCCCTGGAGCTGGTACCCTGAATTCAGACTTCTAGCCTCCTAAACTGTAAGAGAATAAATTTCTCTTTGTTAAAGTCATCTGCTTGTGGTATTTCTGTTGTAGCAGCTCTGGATAACTAAGACACCATCTTACTCCTTCTGTCCTTTCTCTGTCTTGCCTTCCTTCTTTCTTTCTTCCTGGAACTCTTTGTTGACTACACCCCCATGCCAGGCCCAGTGTTGAAGATATAGATGTAAGCAGACCAGACACAGCCCCCGCCTCCCAGGCTAAGTTGCCCTCCAGTCAGCCGGTAGTGTCGTCTCAGCTTCTCTCCCCTTCCTCAAAACTCCTCATATGATCGACATATTCACACTGTGATCTTAATGACTGTGTCTAATCAGTACATGAAGTCTCTGCATTATAGCCGCAGATAAGAAATCCTAAGTCAAAGAAATGAATGTCCAACAGTGAAAATTCCAAATATCTAGGTAGAGATTGGGGACTTTTGGGGGAAGATAGGGAAGGGGAAAAGATTCTTCCAGAGCTCTTGAAAATAAACTAAATCAGCATCGGGGGGGGAAAATATGTTTTGCATATACCCTCTAAGATCAGGCTGGAGAAGAATATTGGTTCTAACTCACCTGAAGGATCATTTGGAGCCTGGGGAAACAGTGCAGTTATAATCTAGAACGCTCCTGAGTGGCAGCGTGAAGTAGCCATGGAATGAGGAGAATTTGGAGGAGAATTTGGGAGTAGGAGGTCTAGAGATCCCTGGCTTGGTTGTGGATTGTCTCTGTGATTTTCGAAGAGCTATTGAACCTCTTAGACTATCGATGTCTATAAAATGGGAGAATTTCCCATTCTAAACAGAATGTCTGTGATAGTTAACTGAGATTATAGATATGAGTACCTGCACATAGTAGGTGTTCTCCAGAGGATGGCCATTATCCTCTAAGTCCCTCTATGGCCAGTGCAGGGCAGGTGTCCCGGGCATCCAACTTAACACAGCACAGCTTCATACCCTGGTAGCTCCCCTTCCTAGGGCTGTCACTCACCACTGCTGTGTTTGCCTCCTCTGCAGGGAAGTATACCGTGTGACGGAGAGTCTGCAGCGGGAAAAGTCAGGGCTCCTGAAACAGCTGGATTTTCTGAGGTATGTCTGTACGTACTGGACAGCACATCCCAGGTGCCTCAGGTTGGAGGGGCCAATCGAAGGGTGTCTCCAACTTCCCTACCACATACTGGAAAGAACTTCAGAGAGGGCACCCACACTCCCCAGTGTCCAACGTGCTGTTTGGACAACTGAGTACCACGCACTGTGTTATGTTTTTTACATGTATGCACCTGTCCACCTCTCTCCGGTTTATACCTCTTTGCACTAGGCTCAGCCTCATTCATCCTCGTGTTTTTTACAGTACCTTGTGTGGCGCTTGCCCAACAAGGATGGGAACTAAATTTATTGAGCGTCAACCAACTCTATGCCAGACATATTTATTATATTTTTTGTTGACACAAGAATTAAAGGATTAGGAAATTGACATTAAAGAAATTAAGTAATTTACCAAAAGTGACACAGCTACTCAGAGGTGGAGCCAGAATTCAGATCCATTTTTGGCTGATTCTTTTTTCTTTGCCACATTCTGTTAATGTTTGTTGAATAAATAAATGAATCACAAACAGAGCACCAAGAAAGGAGGTTCCTCTGTCCTCTAAAACTCACTGTAATAAATTCAAAGCTCATTGATCTGAAATGACCCAAAAACAAACAAACAAACCCATGTGGGGAAAGATGGAGTTTTCAGTTTTGCCTAGAAGGTTTCTAAGTTACTGTATCTACTGCCTCCTGAACACCTTTTAGGTAATGGTGAAGAAGCAGAAGGACTTTGAGTTCTGATTTTTAAAGTGCAAGTGGTTTTGAATCACTTTCCAGGTTTGTTATGAAGCTGTTGTATTTTTTTTTGGAAAGCAAACTAAGGTCAATGTGCCTGGCATCTATGGTGCTACTAAACTGAAAAGTGCTTAAAACTGAATGCATTTCAGATGTACCCAACTCAATACATGATTCAAACAAGTCTCCAAAGGCAGGGAGATGGACGGGGGTTCTTACGTGGCCAAGGTTTAATTCATTTGAGAGAAGGTATTGATTCTTAGGAAGGATTTAGTGCAAGGAAGAGGACAAGATGTACAAGGACAAGTTTTTGTTTCTGTTTTTGTTTTTTTCTTTTTCTAATGTACTTAGAAAAAATAAAAGGGTTGATTCAAAGTAAATGAACAGGGAAGAATGATAGCACTCTGCAAATACTTACGGGTCTTTTTAATGGAGGCCAGAATTCAGGCAGAATCACACACCTGCAGCCTTTCTGGGTGCACGTGGTTACCAAGCTTAAACTGATGAAAGCTTAGATGTGGAAGGGAAGGCGCTCAAGGCAGGGTTTTCCCTTGGCAGTGAAATCACCAGGTAGTGACAGAGACCAGTGGGGAAACAGAGGAATCAAAGAGAGAGAGAGTGCTTGGGCTAGGGGCTGGGAGGGCAGCCAGAATGTGGCAGTGTTGGGGAGGTTGGCAGTGGAATCAGGACAGTGGCTGGGATGTGACAAAGGGGAGGAGGGGACTGCTATCCTAACGCCACTGGGGCAAATGCAAGCAATTTCAGAGCACTGAGTCAGGAACATGGGTTTTGGAACTGAATCTGATTCAAGACCCACCACTGGCCCTCATTAGCTTGTTTGACTTTGGGCAATTGACTCACCCAGTTCCAGTCTTAGTTTTTGAATGCCTAGCTCACAGGCTTTTTTAAGAATTAGATGGTGGTGCAATGGTTAAGCATTCTCAGCTACTAACTGAAAGGTTGGAGGTTCGAACCCACCAGTGGCTCTGCAGGAGAAAAGACCTGGCCATCTGCTCCCATAAAGATTACAGCCTAGGAAACCCTATGGGGCAGTTCTACTCTGTCATATTAGGGTTGCTCTGAGTGAGAATCAACTCGACGGCACACAACAACAGCAGCATGGAAATGGGAATCACAACAGGACAGGGATGTGAATAAAACCAGGCACATTCAGGGAGTATAGCATTTCTTTAAATACTGGAAATTCGGCATGGAGATGGCTGGCTGCACAAAGCAGGAGACAGCACAGCACACTCCCTGCTAAGGGGTGCCTTCCCAGGTCACCCAAGTCCTCACTCAGGTGCAAGGCTGCTAATGTTACTGCCCATACAGAAAGATGGTCTTTCTGGCACGAGAAGCTCACTTTGCCGTTCTCAGGATTTTTAAAATATCCTCCTTGTCCTTTCTTCCTTGTTCTGAAGACCCTGGCTATTTTCCCACCTGCTTACCAGGTGCAGGTAACTGGCACAAAGCAATCCTAGGACATTCCTGCATGTTTTCTGTAAGACTAGGATATTGGAGGTCAGTTGCCAAAGGATTTTCTTAGGACTGCCTCACTCTGGCCTAAAATCTGTCTTTGTACTGTGCAGAAAACACTTAGCAAAGTGCCTAGGCCATGGTGAGAACCCAGTAAATGGTTGCGTTGTAATGATTACAGTTGGACCACTGCTGTGCCCTCCCTTCCCCTTCAAAGTGCTGATTCCTTCAGAGACCACTGGCCAGAAGAGTCATAGACTCCCAAAACTGGAAAGGAACTTTGAAGTCATTTGGCCCACCCTCTCAACTTCTTGCTTTAGTAGATGAAAGTCCCAACCATTAGCTTCAAGTGCACTCTGGACACAACATACCTGAGTCCACTCACTTCCCCGCTATATTAATTCATCAAACTTCTAACACCTTGAGGGTGGAGCCAACATGGCACTATAGACAGAAACACCACGCCGTCCCTCCACAGCAACTACCTAAAAAACTAAGTAAAACAGAGACAAACATCAATCCTGGAACCCTAAGCATCAAATGAAGAGATAAAGAACTCAACCTAGCACCAAATGGAATAAGAAACTGAGAGAACAGAGAGTGAGGAGAGTTACGAGCAGAGGTCCCCTATCAGCTAATGCAGCAGGGATCCACAATCTAGGACTCCTTCGGAGACTGGTAGACAGGGAGTATGGGAGATTCATGGAGTTCCCAGCCGGAGACAGAGCACCTGGTAACCAGCAAGGCACGCTTTCCCACCCCCCACTTTGGCTCCCCCTGCTTGACCTTCACTGCTTCCTGGCTGGCTGATCTGCAGCTTCCCGGTGGGTCGATTCCTGGCTTCCCGGAGGGCCGATTTGCTGCTTCCTGGCCAGCCGATCCACAGCTTCTCAGTGGGCCAATTTCCAGCTTCCTGGAGGGCTGATTCCCTGCTTCCCAGTTGGCCAATCCAGGGCTTCCCCACTGGCCGATTCCGGCTTCCCAGAGGGCCAATTCACTGCTTCCTGGAAGGCTAATCCACCACTTCCCAGCAGGCCATGACAGTGGCGTGGGAGGCACTGGTTCTGTGCTGCAAGGATTCACCCCACCCACACCAGCCGCTTCTTCACTGCCATTTCTTTGTTGCTAGTCTTGCTTTTCTCAGCCTCTTTTGGTTTCTTCCCTGCCTCTCACCTCCTCCCCCTCTTTTCTGTTGAACACCTGACTCCGTATGCCATCTTTGCTTCTTCTTGACAGGCTGTGAAGCACTGCTTATCTGGGAATTGCTCCCCGGGCTGTGCGGCCACGTTGGTGGGATTTCTGGGGACTTTTTTTGTTTGTTTTCTGTTTTTTCCTTTTTATTTTTCTTCATTTCTTGGTTTCTCATCTCTTTCTACTTACTTTCTTTTCCTGTCTCCTGAATACCTGTGTATCATCTCTACCCTTTCTAGCCAGGCTGTACTGCATAACTGCACAGCTGTGCTAGTGGGATCCCTCGGGGCATTTTTTTTAAATTTTATTTATTTTTTTTTTTGTTTTTCTTTGTTTCTCCACTTCTTGTCTCTCCACTCCAACGGCAAGCTCCCTCAGCACTTTTTTTTTTTTTTTGCTCCTGTTTCTCTCTCCTCTCTCTCTTCTTTTCCATACCCAACCTAGCTCTACACATCACAACCTTCGCTCCCCCTCCCTCCTGCCTATCTGTACCATGTGCTGAACATTGCACTCCCGAGCAGCACAGGCACGACCTACTGGAACCTTCCCTGCACTGACCACTGGCTCACCTTGTCAGCCCCAGTATGTGCCACAAACAACCCATCCCAGCCCCTCCCTTCAGCTGGACCTGCCTTGCTGCCCCATAGCTGAGCTACTGGCCCTGCCCATTGGACAAGGAGGTGAAAAATATCGTGTGCACAGACAAGCAAACAACAAAGAACACACAGCCCACCTGCTCAGACACAACCAAATAAACAAAAAAAGCAGGATGAAACAAACAAATCTACAATCAGTAAACGAAGAAAATAACTACTGAATGTCCCGAAGACAGCAGACATTATCAAAACATATTAAAAAAAAGACAAGATAGTTCCAGTAGGCATCCAAAATAAAACACCAGATGACTTTCCAGTAGAAGAAAAGGCACTAGAGCTACCTGATAGGGAATTCAAATTTCTAATATTTAGAGCTATCCACGAGTTGAAGCCAAAATGAGGAAAAAACAGACAAATTCATGGAAAATACAGACAAAAAATGGAAGAATTCAGGAAAATAATACAGGGAAAAAATGCCAAAATAAATTCACAACGAGAAATCATACAAAAACAATTACAAATCCAAAAGATAAACAAGAAGATTTCAGAAATGGACAGTGTCATAGAAGGGCTGAGGAACAAGTTTGAAACAATGGAAGACATTATCAGTGAAATTCAAGGCAAACACTTGGATACAATTTTGTCTGAGAAAAATATCAGAGAAAAGAACAAAACAAAAATGAAGAAACCCTGAGAATTATGTGGGATACAATCAAAAGCAAAAATTTTCAAGTGATCAGAGTTCCAGAACAGGGGGAGAAAACAGAAAACACAGAGAGGATCACTGAAGAATTGCTGACAGAAACTTCCCTAATATCATGAAAGATGAAAACCTGACCATCCAAGAAACTCAACGAACCCCATATAGGATAGACCCCGAAAGAAAATCATGAAGGCATATCATAAACACACTTGCTAAAACTAAAGACAAGGATAGAATCCTGAGAGCAGCTCAAGAAAAAGGAAAAGTCACATACAGAGGGGAAACAATAAGACTAAGCT